GCTCTGATTGGTTGTTTTTCAACATCCAAGGCCCAAGCTCGGGCAGCCCTCAAAGTTTTTTAAGTGCTAATTATTATTCAAACTTTGAGCCGTATTTAGTTATTCGGATTTCAAACATAGTTTAAAATTAATATAGAGTTTATTTCTCTTTGTGTATTTAAATATGTTTAAACATATCAATGAAAAAACACACAGCATAATTTTAATAAACTTATTAATCTTCCCTAGCTTCTCATATGAAATCAATAAACTATTCAGATATTGATATTGATACGAGACAGAGCGTCAGCCAATTTGTTATGCACACCCGGAATATGTTTGGCTTTGAATAAAATATTATGTTCCAAGCAAATTAACACTAATCTACGGACCAAAGACATTAAGGACTTGTCATGACAAGATTGCTTGTTAATTACAGGCACTAAAGCCGCATTATCAGTGAAAAAGACAATAGATTTGTTCTTCATTGTGACCCCACAGGCATAAACTAAGTACAGTGGGATAAAACTCCAAGATGGAAATGTTAAACTTTTTCCACTCGGCCATTGGCCATAACACCACTTACTCCCAAAAATAGCCCCAAAACCTAAACTGCCTGCTGCATCAGTGTACAAATTAAGCTTCTTTGAATTAGACCATTTGTCATCAAGGAAGAAACAACGCCCTGTACGATCATTTATAACTTCCTCAATGAATCTTTTCTTATAACCATTTAATTCTAATGCGTGCAAAACATTCTCAGTCTCTTCAGCCTGTAAAGTCGAGTTAGATGAAATAGTCTTTGCTCGATCTAACAATGTTTTTATAACAGCTTTTTTATCATTAACATGGCTGTGAGAATCAAACGTCAAATATTTATCTGTGTGTGTACTTTTTCGAAATACTTTCACAGCAATGTTACCAGATGCGGTACTGAGTAATTCTGTATCTAAAAATGCTATTGTTTGACCACCGTCTCCATTCATAACAGGCATTTCAATCATAAACTGGATATGAGGGTTAATGGAGTTTAGATGTTCATGGAATAGCGGAACGTCCGGTTGTTTTAAGCAGGCATTAGAGTCGTCCACATATCTTTCCACCACCGTACCGAAACAGGCGATGACTCTAATGTAACTTTCTCGATTCTCTGCATGACTAGTTCCGCAATAACTGCGCTCACTGGTGACCCCATAGGACATCCAAATATCTGATGGTAGTGACAGTCGTCAAACATGAAATAGCTATTGTTTAATATGAACTTTAATAAGTTGTAAATCTGTTCTGCGGTTAAATTTGTGTGTTGTGTCCAAAGATTTGTGTTTGCAAGCTCGTCTTTTACGATTTGCAGAGCCAAATCGACGAGAATTGACGTGAACAAGGAGGTTACGTCAAACGATACAAGCTGTTCGTCGGGATTAATTTTCTGGTTGGTGACAAAAGTTGCAAATTCCTTCGAATTTTTTACTGTGTAGTTCTCATTATATAGATGCTTTAATATACGTGCCAAATACTTAGATACTTCATACGTAGGAGATCCGATTGAGCTATTAATTGGTCTAAAAGGAATATCAGAGAAAACGTTGGGTCGTTAACACTTGCAATCGAGTTTATCACAATGACATTACATTACTTAGACGTGGCCTGAATTTACAAAAGCAAGCTAAAATAAGTGGCGCAAAATAAAACAATACATAGGTACTTTTCTATTTTTGACAGGCGTTTCATATGTAAAATATTGGCTAATTTGATCGTTTTAATGAAAGGAACAAAACGTAGCATATCTCATCCGATTTTTGCATTATCGTCTCCTTTACCATACGAGTTTTTTTTGCTGGTAGGCTGTAGATTTTGAACAAATTTCTTAAATATTGTGGTATTAATGGTTAATTTTGCTCTTATTTTTGCACAAATAACCTGAACTTTGAAAACATCTTGAAAATCCAATATAACTCTTAAATCGACATGTTATATACATTGAACTTTTGGAATTAACTAAGCTTATTCCTCTACTAATGAAGAAAACATCATGTATAGCATACCTTTTCACAGTTTTTCTCAACAATTTTCTCCACCAAGCCACGCTGACATTTGATGTCATTTACAGCCTGTAGATTTAAGAATCCATAATTATTTCATTTCTATGTTTACGTGCGATCCATCGTGAAAACAATTTTTATTGAGGAAATTTTCTAATTTTGTTTCTCCTGTAAAAAACCCAGACATAACCATATTGAAAATCAGACATATCAAATTTTTCCTTGCAATTTCCTCATTCATGCCATAATGAGGACCTTTGTCATTGGTAAACTGTACGTTTAGTTAAAAAGAATCGTTTTTAAATATTGCTGAATAAATTAGGGATTACTTTCGAGATCTGAGTTTCCACCTCCAATTTGAAATGTTTTCCTGACTCTTTGGGTTCAAAAATAGTGCGCAACAGTTTTTGACTGAAACTTCATGCATAACCTTTACAAAAGCAAGCTAAAATAAGTAAGCGCAAAATAAAACAATGCATAGGTACTTTTCTATTTTTGACAGGCGTTTCATATGTAAAATATTGGCTAATTTGATTGTTTTAATGAAAGGAACAAAACGTAGCATACCTCATCAGATTTTTGCGGTTCTTCTCCTTTACCATGTCACGTTGAGGCCTTTTTTTGCTGGTAGGCTGTAGATTTTGGCCAAAGAATCATTTTCTTAAGTATTGTGATATTAATGATTAATTTTGTTCTTATTTTTGCACAAATAATATGAACTTTGGAAACATCTTGAAAATCCACTATAACTCCCATATCAACATGTTATATACATTGAACTTTTGGAATTAACTAAGCTTATTCCTCTAATGAAGAAAACATAACATATAGCATACTTTATCACAGTTTTTCTCAACAATCTGCTCCACCAAGCCACGCTGACATTCATTTACAGCCTGTAGATTTAAGAATCTGTAATTAGTTCATTTCTATGTTTACGTGCTATCCATCGTGAAAACAACTTTTATTGGGAAATTTTCTAATTTTATTTCTCATGTGAAAAGACCACATGTGACATTTCCACCTCCAATCTGGAATGGCATAGGCAGGATACCTTATCACAGTTTTCCTCAACATTAACCCATTAAGCGCCAGCACTCTCCCCTTGATGAGTAAAATCGTCTGACGTTAGACAGAGTAAAATACTAAAGTGGGGTGCAATGCGACTCAATGGGTTAACTAGACACATGGGCAGATAGGCCAGTTAAGCCATTAAGCGCCAGCGCTCTCCCCTTGACGAGTAAAATCGTCTGGCGTTAGACAGAGTAAAATACTCTGGCGTTAGACAGAGTAAAATACTAAAGTGGGGTGCATCAGGGTGCAATGCGACTCAACAGGTTAATCTGCTCTACCAAGCCATGCTGAGATTCCATTTCATTTTCCGTGTGTGGAGTGTGACAATATATTTTTAAAATGCCATTTCAATCATGAACAACTTTGAGACTTGAGTTAGAGGAAACGCACTACACTATAAACCGTATCCTGCTTAGTTCAACCTGGAATCTGATTACATTGTTTAATCAAGATGTCCTAGTAAAATTACTGACCAGAATATATTACGTTTAAGGATCTGGTTATTTTAATCATGGTGGCGTAGTTGCAGTCGCCGCAATAGAAGCGAAAAATGTTGATCAGTTGATTTCCTAACTTTTACGAACACATTTGATGAGTTCCTCAAAATATTGATAACTTCCTCTAAATGTTGACAACTACCTATCAGGTTAGTAATTAAGTAATCAATAGGATGAACGCAGGAAGTTGACTGTAGTTTGAATTGGCAACAACTTGAGGAACTCGTCAAATGAATTCGTAAAAGTTAGGAAATCAACTGATCAAAATTCTTGGGAACACTTCTATTGCCGCGACTGTAAACATAACCAGATTCTTCAAATTTACCAAATTATGACAAACTATATATCGATATAACGGGTTATGCAATTAAAATGTGTTAGATATTTGATAAGGCATTTTATGTTCAACACTTATTCACTTAAGGCAAGTTGGAAGTTGGTTCACGTTTTTGGAACAGATTAACTCTCCAGGTAGATAAATATAGTTATCTTTGTATTTTTTTGTTCAGAAAATGTAATATAATCAAAAAATAAAATAACTACTGTAAGACCTGCATGATCCTTGAATGCGTTTAAACCTAACATAATGGAAGCTCTGCATGCTGACATGATTTAACACAAACTTATAATAAATACAACTTATTATAATAAAGACTGCCTGTTTTTCATAATGATGAGACTGTTTTTCATAATGATGAGAATTAATTACTCTCTCGAAGGGAATTTTTTCAGTTTTGTTTGTCCTAAAAATGCGTGAAGAAAATCTGATTATTGGCGTACCTTATTCTCCCAATGGTAATTTGTCCGACCATAGTTGTACAATATTTCTTCTCCTGCACTTATATCTCTTGTGGCAAAAAGGCACAGAACTGGTTTGTTATTGTCTGCAGTCAAAATCTTCCTTTTTGAGTTAATTTCTTTGCCGTACCCGTGGTTGACAAGTCTTCCAAGGACCTGACCATCTTGGGGTTCCTCTGTGGCATCATAGCTGGAAATCAAATATATCATGTTTACATTATTTACATGTTACACACACACACATATATATATATATATATATATATATATATATATATATATATATATATATATATTAGAATCTGAGGTCTGTTGTACGACACAGTGTGGATATAACACAATTAACTGCATTGTGATTTTTTCAACCGTTATTTCAAAACTATAAAAATATCTGGGTTATACGAATGGCAGCATTCGAAACAAAATCATCAATCATCCTTGGCGCTACCGGGAGGTGTTTTTCAAAACCAGTTATTACCGACTTTGTGGAACTGTTAGGGCGACATTACTTGAAATGTATTTTTGCGGTAATAATGCAAAATTTGTGGCGAATGTACGTTCATTGTTTCATATATAAGTAGGTGTAACATCTGCACATTTCTCTTGATAAGACTTACCAAAAATTTTTACTGTTCAATCTGAAAAAATATCGATAGATAGGCACATTCTTCCTGTCTCTTTGCTCTCTTTCGTTTGCCTCTTTCTCTGTAATGAGCTCACCATACACCAACAGGAAGTTCCCCTTTTCGAAAAATCGAGTGGCAAAGACTGCCCTTCCTGAAACAACCAGAAAATTAAAATAAATTATTTTATTTAAGGTTCACTTTGTTACTAGTTATTAAGATCAAGACAAATTCATATGGCAATATTAAGGTCATCCCCTTTTCTCTTTTTCTGCAATAGCAGGTCTGGGGGTTATCTCCCACAATTTGTTTTATCTTTTTTTTCCTCCATGACTATAACTTTGGCACTTTGCGGGGCTTGTATCAGGAAAATGCCAAAGATTTATGCCGATAGGTCTTGGCTGCATAAACGAGCTCTCAATGTTTTTATGTTAGCCAAGAGCTCTCGCGTGCGGCAGGTATAGTGAGAAATTTTCCTGCATACACTACATATAAGTGTCATCACATGTCTCCTAGTAACTGCTCTGAGCGGTGGACTTTGACAAACAAAATGGCGGATTTGTTATATATAAATCATTAGGAGTGGCGCGGTTTTTTTTTATTTAAACTTGTTTGATAATAGCTATGCTATTTGCAGACTTCGCAATAATATAAACTATATCTGGACCGTAAAACAGAAAAGTTTCACATTGAAATCGTACATTTTGCTGTGGCCACATGTATCCCTCGAACCCTTCATAAAATTTGCAGACTTTGCGTTGTAAAATATATGTTGTCCCCTGCTTGTCTGCATAATTTCATAGTGATACAAATTTTTTAACTTGTTCCGATTTACGGGACAAAATGTTGATATTTTACCCATATTGCAAGAAGAACGATGTTTCATGAATTGTCGTCCATATTTGATATGAGAGAGAGAGACTTTATTTATAGAGGATGACACTTGACAGTACGAATACTGATGACTCTGTGGTCCTCTGGAAACCTATGTGCCTAACCCACCCATGTCAACTTTCCCTGTGGGAGGAAACACGGAGTACCCGGAGAAAACCCACGACTTTCGGCAGAGCGTTGACTTTTACTCTTTTCACATGAGACCTGGGTTCGAGTCACATTGAGAAGTTCTCACTGAGATTCGAACCTGCCGCCTTAGAGGTGAAAGGCAAGTGCGCTAACCACTTCGCCACCGAAGCCCCATCAACAAGAAGCTTAGGAACCAGGCTTTCTTCCAGTGTGGGTTACACTGAGGGATAGCGATGTATACACAAAATATTTTAGTCGTTTACCATGCGCATACTTTATATCCCATCATAATAAATGAAAGGTATGTAAAAGGCCGACAGTACCTAATATATCTATTTTTCTGCTTTAGTTAAACAAAAAACTAAGCAAAATGTGTTTTTTTTAGTTAAAACTTGCGTTTGTTAGGTATCAATAACTTTTCATAAGAAAAACTGCTGGGATATATTGCGGGCGCATGTCCTGAATTTCTGGCCATGGCAGTCCTTAACACACTGGACGCGATTCGACAACGCGGTGCAATTTTTCAGTTTTTCAAAGTTAATAAAACAGGCAATCAAAGGAAATTTTAAAAGATATATGGGCCAATTGACTCGACATGTTATGGCGCTTCTACATATTTGAAAAATGTAAACCAGGATCTAAGTTATCGGTCATTGAAAATTGAAAAATCACTCTGCATTGTCGAATGGCGTCCGGTGTGTCTCGGCCTTTAAGATTCGCGTTTACGGCAAACCACTAACAACAAACTTTGAATCGCATTGCGAAGATAACCGTGTTACGGTAAACTGTTAAAAGTTAAGAAAAGCTATGCTCAAAATCGATTTGGAGTTTGTAGTAAACGTGAGTCATAATAGGGCCATTTATACGAGCGAAAATAAGCTGCGGCTTAAATAAGTCGTGAACAATTTGTATAAACAGTCAATTTGCAATAAGCCGCGACTAAAATAAGACCATGCTTGAAAGCTAGGCCTAAATAAGCCGCGGCGGCTTATTGGAAATTGACTGTTTATACGAGTCGTTCGCGACTTATTTAAGCCGCGACTTATTTTCGCTTGTATAAATGGCCCTAATGTCTCTGTTAGAAATATGGTGATTAGCCACAGAAATTCAAACATGCTTCAAAAATGCTCTCATTAACCATAGCATTAACTGGCTTAAGGGTTACCTTTTCCCGGTATTATTCTGATTTCGAAACCATCCTGGTCGTTATCTTCTTTGCCATTGCCAAACCACTTTGCTTTGTCTTCTTGTAGGTTTGGATCCTGTCTTCTTCGCCTTCGATATATACGGACATGATGGATAAGTCCTCACACCAACCAAGTACCATGCGACTAATGAAGATTATTGACTTTTGCTATCAAGCTTTATAACGATGTGAGTGTATTATTCGTGTGTGATGTGTTACCTCATTAATTTGCTCATGAATTTTTTCAGTTTTGTTTGTCCTAAAAATGCGTGAAGAAAATCTGATTATTGGCGTACCTTATTCTCCCAATGGTAATTTTTCCGACCATAGTTGTACAATATTTCTTCTCCTGCACTTATATCTCTTGTGGCAAAAAGGCACAGAACTGGTTTGTTATTGTCTGCAGTCAAAACCTTCATTTTTGAGTTAATTTCTTTGCCATACCCTTGGTTGACAAGTCTTCCAAGGACCTGACCATCTTGGGGTTCCTCTGTGGCATCATAGCTGGAAATCAAATATAAAATGTTTACATTATTTACATGTTACACACACATATATATATATATATATTAGAATCTGGGGACTGTTGTACGACAGTGTGAATATAACACAATTAACTGCATTGTGATTTTTTCAACCGTTATTTCAAAACTATAAAAATAAAGATATCTGGGTTACACGAATGGCAGCATTCGAAACAAAATCATCAATCATCTTTGGCGCTACCGGGAGGTGTTTTTCAAAACCAGTTATTACCGACTTTGTGGAACTGTTAGGGCGACATTACTTGAAATGTATTTTTGCGGTAATAATGCAAAATTTGTGGCGAATGTACGTTCATTGTTTCATATATAAGTAGGTGTAACATCTGCACATTTCTCTTGATAAGACTTAGCAAAAATTTTTACTGTTCAATCTGAAAAAATATCGATAGATAGGCACATTCTTCCTGTCTCTTTGCTCTCTTTCGTTTGCCTCTTTCTCTGTAATGAGCTCACCATACACCAACAGGAAGTTCCCCTTTTCGAAAAATCGAGTGGCGAAGACTGCCCTTCCTGAAACAACCAGAAAATTAAAATCAATTATTTTATTTAAGGTTAACTTTGTTACTACTTATTAAGATCAAGACAAATTCATATGGCAATATTAAGGTCATCCCCTTTTCTCTTTTTCTGCAATAGGAGGTCTGGGGGTTATCTCCCACAATTTGTTTTATCTTTTTTCCCCTCCATGACTATAACTTTGGCACTTTGCGGGGCTTGTATCAGGAAAATGCCAAAGATTTATGCCGATAGGTCTTGGCTGCATAAACGAGCTCTCAATGTTTTTATGTTAGCCAAGAGCTCTCGCGTGCGGCAGGTATAGTGAGAAATTTTCCTGCATACACTACATATAAGTGTCATCACATGTCTCCTAGTAACTGCTCTGAGCGGTGGACTTTGACAAACAAAATGGCGGATTTGTTATATATAAATCATTAGGAGTGGCGCGGTTTTTTTTTATTTAAACTTGTTTGATAATAGCTATGCTATTTGCAGACTTCGCAATAATATAAACTATATCTGGACCGTAAAACAGAAAAGTTTCACATTGAAATCGTACATTTTGCTGTGGCCACATGTATCCCTCGAACCCTTCATAAAATTTGCAGACTTTGCGTTGTAAAATATATGTTGTCCCCTGCTTGTCTGCATAATTTCATAGTGATACAAATTTTTTAACTTGTTCCGATTTACGGGACAAAATGTTGATATTTTACCCATATTGCAAGAAGAACGATGTTTCATGAATTGTCGTCCATATTTGATATGAGAGAGAGAGACTTTATTTATAGAGGATGACACTTGACAGTACGAATACTGATGACTCTGTGGTCCTCTGGAAACCTATGTGCCTAACCCACCCATGTCAACTTTCCCTGTGGGAGGAAACACGGAGTACCCGGAGAAAACCCACGACTTTCGGCAGAGCGTTGACTTTTACTCTTTTCACATGAGACCTGGGTTCGAGTCACATTGAGAAGTTCTCACTGAGATTCGAACCTGCCGCCTTAGAGGTGAAAGGCAAGTGCGCTAACCACTTCGCCACCAAAGCCCCATCAACAAGAAGCTTAGGAACCAGGCTTTCTTCCAGTGTGGGTTACACTGAGGGATAGCGATGTATACACAAAATATTTTAGTCGTTTACCATGCGCATACTTTATATCCCATCATAATAAATGAAAGGTATGTAAAAGGCCGACAGTACCTAATATATCTATTTTTCTGCTTTAGTTAAACAAAAAACTAAGCAAAATGTGTTTTTTTTAGTTAAAACTTGCGTTTGTTAGGTATCAATAACTTTTCATAAGAAAAACTGCTGGGATATATTGCGGGCGCATGTCCTGAATTTCTGGCCATGGCAGACCTTAACACACTGGACGCGATTCGACAACGCGGTGCAATTTTTCAGTTTTTCAAAGTTAATAAAACAGACAATCAAAGGAAATTTTAAAAGATATATGGGCCAATTGACTCGACATGTTATGGCGCTTCTACATATTTGAAAAATGTAAACCAGGATCTAAGTTATCGGTCATTGAAAATTGAAAAATCACTCTGCATTGTCGAATGGCGTCCGGTGTGTCTCGGCCTTTAAGATTCGCGTTTACGGCAAACCACTAACAACAAACTTTGAATCGCATTGCGAAGATAACCGTGTTACGGTAAACTGTTAAAAGTTAAGAAAAGCTATGCTCAAAATCGATTTGGAGTTTGTAGTAAACGTGAGTCATAATAGGGCCATTTATACGAGCGAAAATAAGCTGCGGCTTAAATAAGTCGTGAACAATTTGTATAAACAGTCAATTTGCAATAAGCCGCGACTAAAATAAGACCATGCTTGAAAGCTAGGCCTAAATAAGCCGCGGCGGCTTATTGGAAATTGACTGTTTATACGAGTCGTTCGCGACTTATTTAAGCCGCGACTTATTTTCGCTTGTATAAATGGCCCTAATGTCTCTGTTAGAAATATGGTGATTAGCCACAGAAATTCAAACATGCTTCAAAAATGCTCTCATTAACCATAGCATTAACTGGCTTAAGGGTTACCTTTTCCCGGTATTATTCTGATTTCGAAACCATCCTGGTCGTTATCTTCTTTGCCATTGCCAAACCACTTTGCTTTGTCTTCTTGTAGGTTTGGATCCTGTCTTCTTCGCCTTCGATATACGGACATGATGGATAAGTCCTCACACCAACCAAGTACCATGCGACTAATGAAGATTATTGACTTTTGCTATCAAGCTTTATAACGATGTGAGTGTATTATTCGTGTGTGATGTGTTACCTCATTAATTTGCTATCCAATTGCAATTGTATTCAGTGAATCACATGCGGAAACGCGGTAATTTGAAAACATGTTAATACATGCAAAATTTAATGCTTGACAGTGTGACACAGGCTATCAGGTAGTGATAGAAATAGGCAGATCCATCATATATGGATTAACCGCTTTTAATAACCACTTTTATAACCACTCATTTGATTTTGTTTTTTTTATGCTAATTACTCCTTGTTATTTATTAGACGCGTGCATGATGTCATCGTTTGCTAAAGTGCGGTTGTTATTCTGACTAATTTTATACTATGTGACTGAATTTATAGATCTAATTAACTTGTAATATCTTAGAAATTCCTATCTCTAAAAATCGTTTTGTGTCCTTAGCTTAAAGCTAAGCCATATTATGCATTAACGTTGTCCTCTACAGATATACCCATGTGTGATGTGTCTGGCATGACTGCACTAGCACATTATTATTATTACGCTTTCCTTCAAATTTTTAGCTCTTGGCCGCAATGAAGAATTTGGACACAAATAAATTATGCAAACTAACTACAAATACTGACAAACACTTTTAGGATCTTGGTTTTAGAAGAAGCTTCATGATTTTTGAGCTTATAGCAATAAAGTAAACTATGTTTTCGAGGGGGAAATTTCCTGGGACACCGGGCTGAAAATTAATCCTAATCAGCTCCTAAATACTTGTGGCCGGCTTTGCCACACATGCAAAATTTAATCCTTGACAGTGTGACACTTAGGCTATTAGATATAAAGAGCTAGTGACAAAAATATGCGGATCCATATTATGTGGATTAATCGCTTTTAAAAAAGGTTTTATAATGGTCATTTCCAGATTCCATAATAAACATTGCAAATGTGACTAAACTAATGCAAGAGGTGTGTTAAAAAATTTTTTTTAGAACCACTGAGTATTTTAGCAAAATACAAAACAAGTGTAACTCCAAAGATCGATAACATTTTTATATTTATCAACGTTTCAGCTATATTTCAATCATCATCAGGATAAACTCATGATCCTGATGATGACTGAAATATAGTCGAAACGTTGATAAATATAAAAATGTTATCGATCTTTGGAGTTACACTTGTTAAGTGTTTTACAGACCACTGCGCTGAAGATCGAACTTGCAACTATGTAAAAACTATATAAATTGCAACCATATGCAAAAACTGAATTATATGACCACTTGCTTTCATGTAAAATAAAAAGGTTTTAAAACCCTAGTTATGCCATCATTAACTTCTTAAAATTGAGATTTCATATGGATTTGTCTACTATATACTAGTTTTATACTTTGCAATTGTACGTTTAATCATAATCCTAATACTTGTGACCGGCTTTGCCACACAGCAGATAGGTAATCTGCTCTGCTAGCGGATAGTGTGCTCTGGTTATGCCATCATCTTGTGAAGACTGAGATTTCATATTCATTTCATGATAAAAGCAGCATTAAAAACGGCTCCCCGAAATGTTTTTATATAGGGCTAATTGGCTTTTTAAGGCCAGCTAGGTCTAAACGTCGCATTTTAGATGCACCGAAATCAAATACGAATTTGAGTGGACTCAAATAATAAAATTCGACGCTTTGATTTGAAAGTCGAATATATTTAGTCGAATTATATAGTGAATGTATTTAACGTTAGGCATTTATGTAGCATATTCACTATTAAGTTCTTTGTAGTTTTGCATGGTGAACAACAATATAAGTTTCGTTTTGTGGAAACACCACGTAAATATATTATTGCAATTTACGTGGTGTTTCCACAAAACGAAACTTATTATAAATTCACTATTACTATTAGCAAATTCCACATATGGCAATATTAATATATCTTTCAACAATGAACATTGCATCTCAGGCAAATATTTTGTTGTTTTTTATATTATACATACATCACATCCTCTTCTTCCGTAAAATTCTTGACCAATAGGAAACTGTTAAAATCTCTTAATCTTCTCAACAGTTGTACCCCCTCCAAACACATTTTGCACGTGAAAAAAACGCCTGCAATACAAGTAACAGCAACTACAGCTAATAAAAGAAAAAAGGGCCAGCCCAGATCTTCATCACTTATGTAGTGAACTATTGCTACAATTAAATAAGATAGTACGTGACCATATGACACACAACATCAATGAACACAAGACTTGCTGCGGGTGCCATGGAAAACTGAATATCAATGGGGAGGTTCCCCTTTTGTACCACATTAAAGTGAGTGGAGGCACGGTTAATCGAAGAAGACTGGTTAGGCTAGCCGGCAAACTTCAAAGGATCTCTGAAATTATGTTGGGAACCCCAAAAATAAATTAGTAAGAAAACGTTAAGAGATTTAGAGTGTTTTTCAAAATTTAAGCGATTTTTATACCTTTTTCGCAAGTTGAAAGCATATTTTTATGGATACACGGCGTTTATGGACATCCCACAGGAAGAATATCAAATTATAATCACTCAAGAACAAAAAATCGAATGTAAAGCACCGAGGTTGTTCGACACTCGTATCGAGTATGGCACACGGTATGAACAGATCAAGCCAAAGCGAGTCTGAAATTTACCTAGAAGATTCTAAAAATGAAGACTATAATCTTGAAGTTACCGTGGCTGTTACGCAGGCTGAATGAGAGGCTATAGAGGACAAATTTAATGACGCTTTGAGCGAAATACATGGTGAAAAATCGTTCCCTTGTCCAAAGTGTGACAAATTGTGTACTAAAGTCTATTAATTTAAAGGCGGCTTAACCAGACACACGACTTCGAAGCACTGCAAATTTTCTCCCAGCAAACATGACCAGAATTGCATATTTTTGCTACGATACTGTTGCGTCGATTGTGGAATTGATCAAGTCGCAAATTATAAGAGAAAAATTGTGTGGGGTTGAAATGAGCAACAGCGCCAAGACTGCATCATGCACTCAAGCTTTGTTTTGATGCTTTATTAGCTATATCAGCAACATAAACTGTTGACAATCGTGTAAATTGTGAAAATGATTGGAAACTATACATGTGTTATCATTATACCACACTCTGACCTCGACTGACATTAGCTCTTGCAGCAACAATATGTAGGCTCCAAAAGTGAGAGGTGTACCAGATTACCAGAGTTACATATATGGTAAATGCTCTCGATTAGGTCTAATATAAATATAGATATGTATATTTTTCATTTAAAACTGCCATTTACAAAACAAACTTCAACACCATACTTATGCCAATAATAGGGTGACAGAAGTTGCTGTTGATAGTGGTAATTTGGTGGTGTACACTGGTCAGATACATATATGCTCTAACTAGTTTTTCACTTAAGCATTTTGACTATTGTTGGAAACCACTGTTTTGCAAAGGATACACTCTAGCAGTTGATACGAAAGATTTTTTAACTAAAGTAGGCAAAATGCCAAAGTGGAAAAATAAGCCTACCTGTTCATTCACTGTCATATTAATTATTAAAGCAACATTCTGGCCAGGATAATTATCATTAATCAACTACAAGATTAAATATTCCACAATCATGCATTTCCACTGTATTGCTAGCATGCAGGTTAATCACCTGTGAAAATACATTCACAGTAATTCTTACAACTGATAGTCTTATTAGATTGTTTTATCAATATGAATATTTTAAACAGTTATATGTTATTAGAACATTGACGGTTGTAAATACTGTCAGAGTATACACAAATATGTTCCTCGCCATGTAATAATTTATAGTTTATAACAAATTTTGATTGTGCACAATTAAGCCCTGGAAAAACATACTTCAGATAAACAGACACCTTGTGGCTCAGTGCCATGTTCTACAACACATTTCGCAGCATATTGTCAACCGGTGCTGCACACAGATAAGGATACCATAACAAATTATCAAGAATTGCAAATACTTTGTGTTGCTGATGAGGTATACAACAATGGTACTCTGAATAATGTAAATATTTTTATTACTATACATATTACTACATTCATTCCATACTTTATGTGTGTGTTGGTGTTATGTACTAAGGTGAATATGATGTTTGTGGTGTTACTCTGAGTGTGCATCCACACCGGGCAAGTTGAAAAGTCTGCCTGACCACACTGGGATTCGAACCCACAACCTTTGGGATACTAGTCCAATGCTCTGCCAACTGAGCTATGATGTCATGTCAGTTCAAGTTGGTGATATTTCGGAACTGAGTTTAGTTCCTTCGGCTCAGTTGGCAGAGCATTGGACTAGTATCCCAAAGGTCACAGGTTCGAATCCTACCGTGGCCAGGCAAACTTTAAGCTTGTCCGTTGGGGATGCACACTCAGAGTATTAATACCACAAACTGACAAACATATTCATTCCAAATGGTCAAAACATAGAGTAATAAAAATGCTTTCATTATTTGGATATGTATGTAAGCTTTGCAATTTTATGATGTCATTTTACAACATGTCTATGAGAAATAGGAATACAAATTCATACTGAATTAGCCCATTGAGTGGCAGCACTCTCCCCTTAATAGGTAAAACTGTCTAGTGTTAGAGTAAAATAATAAAGTAGGGATGGGTGCATCAGGGTGCAATGCCAAGGTTAATGCATAAACAAAAGCCAATATTTATATCAATATATTGCCAACTGTTCTCAATTTCTAATGTCAAATTCTAGGCTGATTAATTAGTATATCTAATAAGATCACAATCAACTCATGTGTTTTTTACTTGCAAAGGAGAAATAACAGAGGTTTTAAATGAGGGAGGGGGGGGGGGCTTAAAAGAGAATTTTTGACAACTCATAAAATTGCATAACTTCAAATAAATTATGAGAACATGTGTTACTTAAGTGGTACTAGGTCATTTCTTTGGGCTTTTTCTTTTCTTCACAGGTTCATCACTAACTCACATTTTCTCTGATAG